TAAAACTTTGAATTCAAAATCTTTAGCGGAAGTCAGTTTCTTTTCGAATATGAATCAGCAAATTCGAATGATAAGGAAGCAACGTAGTCCAGCACAATAGGAAAACTATCTACGACTTAGCCTGTACATATGCTAGTAATGTATGATGAGTTAATTCTCACCGAACGAAAGCAAAACAATAATGAGTAGATACGTCGATTTATCCTTCTTTCATGACTTTCACTTTAATTTGATGCGGTATTAATAGTCCACAGGCTTATCACCCTAAGTTTTAGTGGTTTCGGATTTCTCTGGTTAGGGATCCCTGTGGCACAGAGGTGGCTATTTATTGATCGAGTTCAAACTTTGCTTCTAAAATATCTTTTTAGTGCACGTAGTCGGTCAAAAACGCTCTTTTGGGGCTGCGAAAGTTCGACGGTTAATTGGACTCGCTCACCTAGTGGAAAAATGCTATGAAATCCCACAAAACCAAGGGACATCAGCTGGATAATCGTTCTTTGTTCTGTTTGGTTTTCATGCGAAAAGAAGAGACAGAAGGGGAAAACTTTCGGGTCCAAATACGAGGTGGTGATCGATCCGACGGTCGAAGCTGCCTGCCTTGTCTAATTTGTGCTGTCGTTTGACAGAAAACTAATATATTCCAGGCGGAAGTATGGGTGATGATGCAAATTTGGGTCAGTTATAGGAAGAAACTCGTCACATGATCATCATCACACCTGTCACATGACCAAGCAGGAATTAAATATGCCACTATATTTGTATCTCTTTAATCTGAGGAGAAAATATTTTGCCGCCTACTCGATCCAGAGTACCGATAATCTTGTTCACGATGATAAATTTTGCTTTAACTATTTCTACAGCTCTTCAAAATTAAAACTGAATGATGCAAACATTTACAGGGAATATGTCTGTAAATGAGTCAGTCATTATATCTCTATATCCGATGCGCGCATAGTTTGAATGCGAATGTGAGATAAATAACCATGTTACGTGCATGCATGTCATATTACAAAACTGAAACATTTAGAAACTGAAATGCAAAAACTAATATAAATCATTACAAAATCTTGTCGCCATCCAAATTTCGTTCTATGATATAATATTCAAAAGCAAGCGTTGAGCCAGAAGTTCCCAGTGTTTTGCTTTGATTAGAGTATTCAGTCAATGAAATCTTATTCATTTCATCCTATTCTATATTATTGTTTTTGAGCTTCTCCATGGATTTTTCTTCGGGACTGCTGTGGTCTGAACTCAACGACATTTTGATGAGTACTTTCGACGACGAGTTAGGGAACACAGCAAGTGAAGAAAAAGTATATACTCAAGTGGTGCAAAGTCTCATAAACTACGTAGAGGAGAATGTTAATGCTTCGGATAGTATTTTGATAAGTGGTAGCTTTGCTGAAACTACCAATATGCATCCTTACGTACGACAACACGAGGCTGAATTCGATATCATGATAGCAACGCGCCATTTTATCATATCACGTGATATGCAGCCCGCCATATTCAAGGATATCCCGGATGAGCCTGGGTTTGTCAGGGTTGAGGCGTCCGATATTCGCGAGAATGAGTCAATCGAAGTCAAAGAAGTCATTCATTCTGGCGGACGTAGCTCCCATTTTTACATCGTTCCAAACAGAAAAATGTTCCAATATCAACCAAATCCGATATACAAAAACATTCTTGTTCAGAGTATGTGTGATACTTTAGGAATTGAAAAGCTCTCCGTGATGGAATATCAGCAGGGACCTGCGCTTACTGGATCTTTTTTATCTCTTCTGCCTTCAATTGAATCCATCAGTACCCATCCTAAAAACACGCTCTTCAAATTTCTAGGCCATCTCGGCACTAGAGTTTTGGAGCACTTCGACCATGACAAAACAGAGACAGAGAAAAACAATTTGAATGGGGAATTTAAGGAGCACAGTTTTTGGGAAGCTTTTAATGTTATGAAGACCACACATCCAAAAGAGATTCCTTGGATTAATAAACTAGTGGTGGATTTCTGCCCAGCCATCAAGTGTGAAGGATGGCCACACAAAGCCTTGCGTTTCTTTCATCGTACAAGGGTTTGGCCTGATCACACCATGCTGAACAAGCTACTACAAAGTGGTTTCCATTTGGTTTACAAACCACTCAATCCTTTATCACAAGACTCTGTCGAATGGAGAATTTCCTTCTCTCAAACAGAAGTCTCATTGTTTCAAAGCATGGATGATTTCAGAGTTTGCTGTTATCGTATTTTCAAAGCCATTTACTACAGTGAGTTGACGTTACCAAAAGTTCTCTGCTCATATCACATGAAAACCATCTTCCTGTGGGCGTGTGAGAGAATACCGTCCGAGATGTGGGTGAAGGCGAACTTGGCGCAAATCATCATGGGATTGTTGGATGATTTACTGCATTGCCTGGTTACCAAGAGCTGTCCACACTATTTCATTCCTGAAAACAACCTGTTTGCGCATGTGCACCAGGACTTTCTAGACCACCTGGCTAAAGTGGTTGCAAAAATACGAAGAAATCCAAAAAGGTAAACGCATTTTTTTGCTACTTAATTTCTTTTTAGCCATCAAAATAACAGCAGAATTTTATGACTTACCGCTACTTTGTTTATCTGTCTGTCCATATTTTTGTACCGCTTCCATCCTTTCTGCGTTTCTTTGATTAAAGCTATTCAAATATGGTTGGTGCATGTTGTATGTAAATGCCACACTATGTGCGATGTAAATGCAATCAGCGACTGAAAGGTCACAACAATATAGAATTTCCATCTGTGCTGGCATTATTTACATAGAGTGGTTTTCGTAAGACTGTGAAAAGCTCAGTGACGGTAAGCGTGCCGTGCCGTGACCGTAATGTTTCCTAGAATTTTAATTAGCTGGGTTTTTTTCTCACGCAATATGATTGGTCTGACAGTGCCGCGACCTTCGCGTGACCGTGTCCGCGCCGTGTTTATGTCGTTTTCCGGGTATTTGATTGGATGAAGAATACATTCTCGAGCAATGTGATTGGTCTGGCGTATCCCTTGCCGTGTCACGACCGCGTTCGTGCCGTGACCTTTTCACAGTCATACAAAAACTGCTCCATGATCAACAATACATGTCTAGCTTTGTAATAGGCACTCGATCATATATTGGCATGTTAGACTGCGCAATATTAAGTAAATAAATATTATTATTATTATTAATAATATTAATATTATTATTATTACGGTAAATTGCAAGAAAATCTTCCTTAACCTTGTTTTGAAATAGCTGTCTGTATACATGTATGATCGACTTTGTCGGTTTTTAGCTGTTTTTACTTTAGTTTTGCGATAACAACAAGATGACTTATTGAATTCATTGTTTTATCATACTTCTTTATTATATTTTTTTAGATATCTGTCTGTTCTAAAAAACCGAAATACTGCTGTCCAAGACAAAGACGTCGGCGTGGAAGACGTATCTAGCATGGGTGATATCGAACTAGACTGAACCATGTACTATCAGTCCTGATCAATGTGCCTTGCCTTGTAGTATTTTTGAGCAGCAAAACTACAACTCAGTCGATCGACCGGATAGGCTTTTCCCGGATTTACTGAGGTGACAACGAAACAATGGCTTCAAGTCGAGGTTTGACTTGATGAGTTCATACATTTACTGTATTTTATCAAGTTCAACCTCGTCTTGGAACCATAGTGTTTCATGGTCACTCAAGCGAAATCGAGGAATGTTCGATTAATAGAATAAACTTCTGCTCATTCCCAAGCATCTCTCAGCGGGTTGATAAGCGGGATATTTGCTGCTTCTCTATTTATAGAACTGAAACCAATAAAAATAAACCCGTTGCTATAGGCAACACAATACTAAATTCCAGCTGGGGGCTTTCAAAACGGAAAACTAATTCTCAATCTTATCATGCTTCTTTAAATATAGCGGGGTTGGATATTTGACTATATATGCTACGTGTAAAAGATATTTGATGAAACTTGTACTCGATGAGTTACATGTACAATTCCGTAAAAGGTTTGATTTTTTAGCGAGACAAAAATATTCTCGATCACTGATTGGTCGATTCCTAAAGGCAGAGTAAAACGAAACACCTGGATAGCTAATGAACAGGTGTAGATGAGAAATGTAATATTGATAAAGAAAAAAAACTGTCTACCTTTACATAATACGAGATTAGAAAATCTATCTGCTTTATCTTGAAGTAAAAACGTCCATTACGGTACAATACTCCCAACTTACCAGCCTTTTGACGTGTGGGTGGTTTTTTTTTTTTTTTCAACAATACTAGGATGTGTTGGTTAGTAGTATTGTTGATTATGATGAGGTCGAAGGCGGAATATAAATTCACCCGAAATGTTATGGTAAACAATGCGATCAAGAAGCCTAATTGAACACAAATGATCATGTTTGTTTGAAAATGCTAAGCCTGAAAAGCTCGTGAAATATTGGACGGAGCTTTGAATGGACTCGGAATATCGTCAACAAACCTAACGAAACAAAAAGGGGCATACAACAAACTGAACAAATGCTTGGTGAAGTTGATTAGAGTGAGATAAAGAAGAGGTAAACACAAGATGGAAATCAAAAGCTAAACAGAGTTTATACATTATAAAAGCTCTGAATTATGACTTTCATTTGCACAAACAGGGCAATACTGCCTGTAAAAGTACATGAATATTATGCCATGGAAGACGCGATGATTCAGTGTGGCGATACTGACTCAGTCTTGCCTCCATTGGACCAAGGCACTGTTAAAAAGGTTAATTCTAGCAACGCTTTGATTGAGAACCGATTGAAAATTTTTCGAAATCAGCTCCAGAAAGAAAAAGATGAAGCAAAGATGCGTTTTCTTTGCAAAAGACAGGATTTTTTCAGGACTAGTATTATTCTACAAGAACGTAAAAGACTTGCCTCTAGAAAGAAATCTAGGTTCACATCTGGGGATGACAGGAAGGAATCGATGAAAGAGGAAAATACATCCTCGATTCATACGCTTAGCAAAGATGATCTGACAGCGCGCGAAAATGGATCAAGGACTACGAGAGAAAATAGCTTGAATGTCGACAACATCTCTCCTCTAAGACCACCTTTTTTCTTGCCACCTTTGCACAAAAACATAATGTTGGACTTAAAAGATACTAAAGAAAGAAAAGAAAGACAAGAAATGCACTGGAAGTTGAACGAAATCAAGCTTCAAGATGTGCAAAGCTGTCAATATTTGAGAATCGCTGGCATGGCAAGGCTAATGTTTGGTTTACCAGAATCCGATAACAACGGCTTTTTAGGCCCCAAAATAAACAAGAGTCCCTCTAATGAAAATGGCAAATCTTAATGTATTGACAAGAACTTTAAAAGGACAATATTTAGGATCTTAGAGAGTGTGGCTTTGACTAATATCAATACAAACTGCAGTGCTTGCATAGATGAACAAGCCCCTTTTATACGAATTCGCTGACTGAACAACAAGAACTTCATTTTTAGGAAATATTCAAATTATAAACAAAAAAAAATTAGAACTGAACGTGAAAGGAATGTCATTATCTTACTGATTTACTTTATAATTTCGAGTGAACGTTTTCGACCTCGTGAAAAAGTAAAATAGCTTCCTTCGTTGCAGTTGCGCGTATTTTTTGCGTCAGGCTACAAAAGAGTGGTATTTCTGCGATGGGTTTTTTAAAACTCAATTGACTTGTCTAATATAGCTAGGGTCATATTTATTTTTATCGATATACGTATACATTAAACTGCATTTTTTAAAACGTTCATTCTAAATTTATTTTAATTATATTTGTATAGTTTTAAAAAAGATTTTGCTCAGATTTTGTTCATATGCGAAAACTGAAAAAAAAAAACACTCAAAAAGCAGATCTAGCTGTGTTCCTAAAAATAGCCTAAAAATTTAGAGCTCTTCCCTGGAGATTATTTCTATTAATCTAAAATCTATGAACTTTGAATTAAGAGTTTGAATCCAGCAGAGTTGCTATTCTAGTTTTTGAGTAACGAGAATAATGAACGACTCGTGCAAAACAAAAAATTGCAATTTCGTTTAATTCAGCACCATTGTTCTTTATCTCTGGGAAAACACATTTAAAATGAACAATTCTACTCTGGTTAAAAAATATTTTTTAATGTTCCCACTGAGCTTTTATTTCACTGAGTTGGTCGTTTCCTAAACCGGTTCAAAAAGATTCCAATGTTCCTATGGCTAGAATTCCAAAAACAGACCGGTTAGAAATGCTATACGTTGTTTCTATGAGTTCTGAAAACAGAACTCCAAGCGAAATAGAATTTCAACGCGTTTGGCATATTTTTGGAGTTGTACTATTTAATTAGTTTTAAGATAATCATGGATGCTCCGTAAAAGCTATACTGCTGATAATCAGGAACTTAACATCTTTCTTTCGTTTTTAATGGTTTTACCCATGTTTTCTTATCATCGCAACAATGAGAAACCCATTATGTGTAAAGTCAGTTCATTTAACGTTTTTTATAACATTTCCCAGATCTGCCGGTAAAGTAGTAGTCTTTCTTGCAATTGTGCCTCAGTTTCTTTGAAGGAGTTTGTTAATTCCCGATCAGTAAATTCTGCCTCTTCAAAACAGATTAAAAGTTTTTCTTGACAAGTCTTTTGATTATAACAGTTGTATCTGCGTCTGGTTCGGACTAAAATCTTGCGTTTGATCCTGGGAATTTCGCGGGCAAAAAAAAAAAAAGGTTGGTGATGACAAGGATGGATATAAATAGAAGTTTATTATATTATTTATGACCCTAATCGGCTGATTTTCCAGGCAGTAGCTAGTGGGCCGTGTGCCTACATTGGACAGTTGGACATTAGTTCAGTCGTCGCAAGCCGGACCAGACAAATCGGTTAAGTAGTTAAACACGTGTGGTGTTCTCTAATAATACACTACCCTCACAGCTGTGTTCGTGGGTTTAATACATGGTGCTGCATCCGCGAAGCAAGGGAAATAGAAGGTTCAAAGGTTTTCATTTTTCACACATAAAAAAGACAAAATTTTACACCCGTTATTAAACATGAGATGTTTAGCCAGATAGGTTGAGGGTCGGTAAGAGAGACAACCCAAAGGGTTTAATTAGTTACTTTTGCACCCAGTAGTATTGTAAAATGAATATTAATGTAATGTGAAGAACTCTGCTAACACGAAAGCAAACTTACAGAACTATGTGTACTCACAGGCAGCCCAAACAAGGTTCCTGTGTATGGTTTATAAGGGAATGTATGGGAGTTATGATAAAGTATGAAAATAAAATGTTTCACTCAACAATTTGCCTCAAAACTTGCTGCAGTTGTTACTTTTACTTTGTTCAGTCTTCTGGCGACGTTTCAGCGCGATTTGAGGCCGTTTAGTGGGTTTTTTCAAAATTTGCTCTTCTCTACCTAAATACCATTATTTGAGGCAGTTTAGTGGGTTTTTTCAAAATTCGTTCTTCTCTGCCTAAATACCATTATCATAACTCCCATACATTCCCTTATAAACCATACACAGGAACTATGTGGGAATATAATTAAAGTTCTTAGCGTGGGTTTCCTGTGTTGAGAGAAGCCCAAAAGTTTTAGGTCAGCGGTATTCTTGGAAAGTTTACAAAGTCTCCATGGTAACGATTGTAGCTCGAATCCAAGGAACTAAAGTCAAAAGAACACAAACCAGCTCAGCTCGTAAACAGCCAATTATTACCATAAGGTAGGTGTAAACGAGGTTTCCTTTAGTCCCTTGATGTTTTCTACGTGATATTGCTTACATTCAAGACGTTTTAAACTATTTTTATTGCACGGGGAGCTAAAAGAACTAAAATTAAAACGGCTTATCAAATCAATATGGAAGTCAGACGATCACTATCATACAACAATCATTAACTTCTTGTTGGGATTTGTAGCTGTAAAAAGCTAACTATGATATCAAAGTGCCTTTTATTTTAAGTTGCTTTCATTCTAGGTTTTAATACTACAATACGGAGGTTTTAAATTTCTTAGAAAAAGTGTAATTTAGTGAAGTGAAGTTTTTGCAGGTCAAAATCTCGAGCTTGACTACTCATATTGATTTGTACTTCAACGTTACACTGTAGGCTTGGACACCAATAATTTGGATATTCCGTTTGTGTTAACACATATCCAGTTTTTTTATAACAGTTTTATCATAAATTCAGTGTAGATCTTTTTTTTTTTTGAAACAGAGATAATTCATATTTCACTAGACTATATACATACCTTAGCTTTTACCTGCATGGTATAGCTATACCAAAAAAAAATCAGTCTGAAACCGTTTTCATGAAGAAATAATGTTTTTGAATTCATATTTGTGGTTTTTATACATGTAGATATTATATTTATCAATTTTTTAATATCATTTTTATTTAAACATTTTTCATCTTAAAATTGAACCCAGTAGTTAAATTCGCTTATCAGCCTTCTGACAATATTCTCAGTATTGATTCTAAATGAGGTTAGATGTTGAATAACCCAAAAAAATTTCGTAGTTTGAAGTTATAAAGGTTTTTCCATACCATATGATAATGCTATGATGCATGAGGAGGCATATGGCATGGACAAACCTTTATAACTTCAAAAAGCTGCACTCAAACTATTTTTTCCCCGGCTATTCAGCATCTTACCCCACATAGAATCAATACTGCAAATATTGTCAGAAGGGTGATAGGCACTTTCACCAATCATAAAAAGGGTCTAATGTTTAGTTATAAACAACAATGACATGGTAATGTGGGGGAAATGCAAAGCATTAAAAAAATGGTGCACAAAATAATTTTATTTATGACTCATTAGTGATAAAAGATTGAACATAAATTGTTTTTTATCTATCATTATTATTATTTATTATTACATCAGAAGAACTGGCAATCTAATCAGGCCCAATGGGTGCAACACTGTCCAGCCATGCTCAGTGGACCTCGGCAAGTGATCACAGTAAAGGGAAGCTTGCATTTACAACTCACAACGAGGCCCTACTCAATAATATTGTACAGAATATTGAACAACTTGTGAACAAAAACCCTCATGAAGCTGAGGTGGTGTTCAAGGAACCATTTAAATGGCATACAGATCTGAATCCTGATGCATTTTCTTCTTTGAACTTTGGTTCCTTGGGATATCAAGTCAGGTAGGTCAACAGAATGCAAGGTTTCCCTGTAGTTTACTAAATCATAATAGTATAAACAAATGCATCTTTGATAATAGTTATAGATGGTATTGTAAAAAAATCTAGTTTCTAGTATGGATGGCATCTGCTGTGGTAATCTCACCAGTTTCTTTGAGTTTGCCAGTTTTCAGTGTTTTGCTCACAAGTTTATTTTTTACTGTATTTTGACAATACATAAACACTAATAGCCAGCTTGGGCTATCTGTGTATCTCTCTGCAAAACCTAATTTAATCTGTAAGTTAGCAATAATCGACCAACCCAGAAATTGTTCCAGGATTCATCAATTGAGTACTAGGTATCTTTTAGTGTCTTTAATATACAATGTAATAATGCTATAATTTCTTGTTCCTTTAGTGACAGAGAAGTGAAGTCAGAGGCCAAAAACTCTGCAGGAGATCCTTTGTTAACCCTGGATAAGGTATGAAGTTTTGGAAATAATATTATTGGGGTCATCCATTTTTATACAAGTGCATAAAGAAGATATCAAAATAACCAACATATGATAAGAATCACTTCAAGGATGCAAGATATGAGTATTGTGTAGTTCCAGAAACTATTCAATACCCCCCCCCCCCCCCTGGAGGATTTCACTTTTTTAGACCCCCCCCCCCTCCCCCAATCCCCAAATGGGGATGGGGGGATGGGGTATGGATAATGTCTGGAACTACACATTATATTAATGCATCATATTATAATAACATCTGTATAATGGTATGTCATGCAGTGTCATAAAAAGGGTCCCAGAAATGCATATAGAGTGCTAGACTTTTCTTCTAAAGCACAATAGTTTGCACCAAATCCACAGGAACTCCAAAAGTATAAGCCATTGAGACCTTTAATTACAAAAACATTTCTCTCATATCCTTATGAAACTCACTGCTCAACTTTAACATCCTTGTTCCTTTCTAGGATGGTCACAACAGTATTGTCAAAGTAATGAGCTTTGAACAAATCAATAATATTCTCAAAGTAGCTGGAGAAAGAAAATGTCAGGAGGTTCAAGCTTGTCTTGAAGGTACTATATTATAATGAATAATCAGCAGTCCTGTGTGACAGTTACACTATGACTGGAACTAAGAGGTTATGTAGACCATAGACTGCAAGCAGTCTCACTATTCCCTCCAGACTCAGTAAAGACAAGTGTTTCAGGATTGCTGTGGACGTGCACAGAAATTGGAGCCAAGTAAGCCGAGTAGGGAGATGAAAAGTAGTTTCTCTCTTACTCGACTTCAATCTCCACAGGCATCCACAGGAATCCTAAAACACTCCTCTCTACTGAGTCTGGAGAAAAGTGGGACAGCTCCCAGTCTTTGTAAACCAAGGGTTTGTGTCAAAATGAGCCTCAGAAATGGAAAGAGCACAGATTCAAAATTCTGGTTTTTTATTTATAATATCTATTTATATCATAACATTTATTTATATTAATATTTATTTATATTAAAATATTTATTGATATTATAATACTTATTGATATTATAATATTTATTTATATTATAATATGTGACACGAAATAATAGTAATAGAAATATGGGATTTGTATGAAAAAATGAAATGGATGACAAGAGCTTCACTGTCATCCCACACATTTTCCCGTACAAATCCTTTGCAAATCAAGTTTTTTTTGTCCCCCCCCCCCCA